AAAAAGGTCTCATCATAATCAACTCCCGGAGTTTGTGAGAAACCCTTTGCAACCAGTCATGCGTTATAAGTGTGTACATTACCATCCATGTTGGTCTTCTTCTTGAAGATCCATTTGCACCCTACAGTCTTATAACCTTGTACATTCTCAACCAAGTTCCAAACTTGATTGTCATACATGGACTGTATCTCGCTGTCCATTGCCTCTTTCCATTTGGCTGACTCAGGGCCTGCCATGGCTTATGCGTAACGGTTAAGTTCATCCAGACCTATCATTGTCTCATCACTGATAAGTGTATCACCTTCCGCAGTAATATGGAATCCATAGTAATGCTCAGGTGCATTCCTAACCCTTGTGGAACGCCTCAGAGGTAAGGACTTGTCAATTGGCTCAACAGGAGTTTTCTGCTGAAGTTGAGTGCTAGGGTTTGAAGTTCCTTCACCGCTTGACTCTTGAATTTCTTCAAGGTCAACTTGCCTCCCACTGTTTCCTTGGATTATGAACTCTCTCTCTCTCTCTCTCTCTCTCTCTCTCAAGAACGCCCTCTTAGCTACAAAGACCACATTTTCAGTAGGTCTGTAGAAGAGGTAACCAAAGGATTGCTGTGGGTAGCCGATGAAAATACACCTCTCGCTTCGAGGTTCGAGCTTATCATGAGTCTCGCGTCTCACGAAAGCCTCGCAACCCCAAATCTTGATGTGATCTAGTTTGGGTACTTTACCAGTCCACATCTCATGAGGAGTTTTGGCAACTTTCTTTGTAGGGACCAGATTAAGGATATGAGCGGCAGTCTCTAAGGCATTCCCCCAAAATGAGATTGGTAGGGAAGCTTGACTCATCATGGAACGAACCATGTCCAACAAGGTTCGATTATGCCTCTCAGCCACACAATTCAACTGCGGTGTCCTGGGAGGTGTCAATTGTAAGAGAATCCCACATTCCCTAAGATAGTTGACGAACTCTGAACCAAGATACTCACCACCTCGATCAGATCGAAGAATATTAATGTTCCTGCCCATTTGATTCTAGACTTCCTGTTTAAACTATTTAAACCTTTCGAAAGTCTCTAACTTATGCTTGATTAAGTAGACATATCCATATCTACTGTAATCATTAGTAAAAGTCAAATAATAACGATTAGCATCCCTTGTGGCATGTTTGAAGGGCCCACACACATCCGTGTGTACAAGATCTAACAAACCTTCACCCTCTCATAAGAACCTGTGATGGGTAACCTTTTTATTTTTCCATGTAAGCATTATTCACAACTATCATCTGACTTAAGGTCAAATGACTCCAAGACTCCATCCTTTTGGAGTTGGCCTATGTGTTTCTTACTTATATATCCAAGACGACAGTGCCATAATGATGCTTTATCCAAGTTGTTATCATTAACAGAATCAATACACAATACATTATTTCCTAAGTTATCAACCATAGATACAGTTTCATACACACCATCACAAGGTAATGCTTTTAAATAAAGAACATTATTAAAGAAATCATTAATCGAACCAACTTCATTATCAAATGAAAAGGTAAAACCTTGTTTATACAATGCATGAAAGGAAATAATGTTTCTTTCCATTTCTGGCGAATAACAACATTTATTCAAATCTAAACTAAACCCACTACTTAGCGATAAACTATAAACTCCAATCTTGGTGACAGGTAGAGCTTTCCTATTCCCCATGATTAAGTTTATTCTTCCTTGCTCCACATTCTCACTTCTTCTTAGTCCCTGCAAATCAGAACAATTATGAATACCACAACCGGTATCAAGGACCCAAGAGTTAGAATGGGGTGAGTTATTTGATAAGATAGTGTAAATACCTGCATGGTTAGGTTTAACTTTCCCATCCTTCACATCTTGTTGGTACTTTGGGTAGTTCCGCTTCCATTGTGACTTTTCATGGCAATAGAAGCATTCAGCCTCTTTTGGGTCAGAAGAAGGAGTGATGAAACCTTTCTTGGTTCCACTTGAAGAAGAGCCATCAAGGATCCTATCCTTGGTACCCTTCGAAGAGCTCTTCTTTTTCTTCCCTCGACTTTTCCTGATTGCCAAAACCGGGGCGGATTTTAGAGTAGGAGTGTTAACAACCGACTTCCCCTTAAGACCTGTTTCTGCGGTCTTGAGAAGTCCCTGAAGTTTGCTGAGTGTGGCCTCTTCCTTATTCATGTGATATGTCATGCAGAATTAATCATAACACGATGCTAAGGAGTGCAAAATGATATCTATTTCAAGCTTCTCAGGGAAGTTCACATTAAGCTTTAGCAACTGATCCACATATCTTTGCATTTTCTACACGTGGCTCGTGACGGACTCTCCGTCCTTCATCATGGTTGTTATCATGGAGTAGATGATTTCATACCTCTCTTGTCGTTCACTTTGATGGTATCTTTCCATCAGATCTTGGTGCATTTCAAAAGGGTAGAAGTCCTCATAGGACTTTTGGAGTTCTGCTATCATCGTGGCCAACATGATGCATGCCACTTTGGTAGCATCCCTTTCATGTGTCTGGAAGTCAGCGATCTCCTGAGGAGTTGCGGTGGTCTCATCAATCTCCTTAAGCTCCTTATCAAGGACATATTCTTTATCCTCATAACAGGTAATCATCCTGATGTTTCTGATCCATTCATTGAAGTTGGATCCATCAAAAGTGACTTTCCCACACAAGTTCATAAGGGTAAAGGAGCCATTAGGATTAGAGCCAGAAGCAGCGTTGTTTGAAGACATCTAGAAGAAGAGACCAAGATTAGTTTAGACATTAAGAGAGTTCTTAATAAAACACCCAAATTTAATATTAAGGCTAGGATCCAATCACAATATATTATAACTTAGAAGAGGTATGCCGTAATCCAAGCTATAACATATTTGAAATGTAGGTGAATCATGATTCACCAATTTCCACCATGAAAAACGAAATATAAATATTAGGTTTTTAATTTGTTATTAGAAATGCCTAGATTCTTTGAGATTCATTGAACTTTTCAATGGCATGTTTCAATCTCGAGTGTGCCCTCCAAGTTTTGTGACTGGGATACCAAGGATCACAAAACAAGGTGTGAAGTAACCATGCAAATCACTTGGTACCCTTAAAGTTTATCTCTCAATCGATGTGCCGATAAACCACACATGCTCCACCGATACTATGATAAACCTTAAGTCACCCTTTACCTACCTTGTTAAGTCCAAGTTAGTGTGCTGGTTAACTACACACGCTCCACCAACGACTTAAACAAAGTGTAAAGTGTAATTTCATGGATTAGCACCTTATTCACATTTTTCCTAAAGTAACTAAGATTGGGAATTTAATAAAAGCATTTAGTTACTTTATAATATTCTTCATACTTTTAATGAGAATTTATAAGTCCTTGTCCTACCCGTTCGGCTAACGACCCTCCACTGATCAAGGAAGGGGTGGGTGAGAGTGGACACCCATTAAGTTTCAATTTTATAGGCAACAACCTTATACCCCCCTTATAGACCGACTTCATGAATGAGTCGTACTAGCGGTAAGATGACTTGATATTATATATATATATATATATATATATATATATATATATATATATATATATATATATATATATATTATTAACTTATAATATTATAAAGTATAAGGGTTGAATTTTAACTTTTAAAATTCTAAGGGTTGGAACTAAAGTTTTAATCAAGACTTTACTTGTTCCAAAACATGAGGGAAAGTTTTGTAAACTTTGAAAACTTTTCATTACTTATAACTTATGAATTTAATTGAGTAACAAAAATGAAGACTCTTCATTTTAATAACTCTAGTGTTCTTTTAATGGTTTTAATAAAAGTGTGACTTTTGGTTTTCCATAACTTGAGGACAAGTTATGGACTCCATTAAAACACTTTATGATCATGAATTAAACTACCATGAAGGTTACAAGCAATTCATATGATCATCTAATCTTCATAAGTTCAAGAACATGAATATGAACATTTCAAGAATAAAAAATTACACTTAAAAACTTGTAATTTTGATAATTGCCATTGCAAATGGATTAGCATAAACATTACACCATCTAAAACAAGTTTTCAAGTACCAAATAGTTTAGGGTAATGTTTCTTGTCCATTTCCAGCAACAAAAGTTGAATTTCTGAAAACTGCAGCCTCTACTCGTCGAGTGCAAGAATAAACTAGACGAGTAGCTTGTATTTGTTCATGGACTCGTTGAGTCCCACTACTAGAAAAAAGGCCTTTTACGATGCTCATTGCGCGTCGTAAAAGGCTCAGACGACGCGCAAATGCGTGTTAAGGAAGGCCATGTCATAAATATAGACGACGCGCATTTACGACGCGCATTTACGACGCTCTCTTATGATACGCAATGCACATCAAGGAAGGCCATGTCATAAATATAGATGACGTGAAAATGCGCGTCGTCTAGAGACGACGCGCCCTTATGATACGCATTGCGTGTCAAGGAAGGCCATGTCATAAAGGAAGATGACGCTCAAATGTGCGTCGTCTGTAGACGACGCGCGCTTATGATACGCATTGCGTGTCAAGGAAGGCCATGTCATAAAGGAAGACGACGCTCAAATGCGCGTCGTCTAGAGACGACGCGCGCTTATGATACGCAATGCGTGTCAAGGAAGGCCATGTCATAAAGAAAGACGACGCTCATTCGCATGTCGTAACCTTACGTCTCTCGTTTTTACTACACGCCTTTACGACGTTTTTACGACGTGCATTTAAAACACACATTTACAACGTGAATACACATAATAAATGACAAATATACCAAAACATTCATTTTCATCTAAATGTCAAACAACTTTACATATATGTTGAATTACCTAAGCTGTAACTACATGTTACCTTAAGTAACATTACTAAAAGTTAGCAAAAAACTGTACATGTGTCTCAAAAGACTACCTAGCATTACACATGTCAAAATACCATACCTAGCATTAGTGGTTAACTATAACATTGTTTTGCGGATACATTGCCAAAAGACCATACATATCATCGATAAATGAAGCCTGTAACAAACGTTGACCATTCTTCACGTATCTCATCGATATCAACAGTTGTGTACTCAACTTTGCCATCCCCGATCTGTGAAAACAACACACATTGTTTTTATTAATAAAAAATAGCATATTAACATATTCTGTAATAGTAAGTTGATATATTTAACAACTAAGCATAAAATGTAAATTATTCTTTCTTAATAGAGCATTGTACTTTCAAGTGAATGAAAGCACATATTCTGTAACAGTAAGGATGCCATAAATTATAGTAATGAAAGTAGAATGCTATATCCTTACATTGTCTTTGACCAACACTTCAATTCCTTCTTCCACTATCTCCTTCATGAACCTTAGCATGTAGTAGCCACATTCGGTAGATCCAGGCTGAACTGGACACTACACAATTACATATAAAATGATCATTTCAATTGATCCAAAAAATAAAGTTAAAACTACAATTTCAATAAGGAATTAAGTGCTGACCGTAATATTAACCCAATTTAGTTTAACCCTTTTGTTGGATCCACTTTGTGTAGTGTACAGAACCATTGCCCTATAAAAAAACATTAACAAATATGTGTTTATTGTACTCACATCAAGTGTTTTGATAATTTATATTACTTACGAATCAACAATTTGCTTCAACTGCATATTGAAATTGCCAGAGCTCAAGGAATCAAGATAATAGCAAGTATCCGATTTCATGTCTAGTACACCCAATACCCAATGTATTCTACAAAAACCACAAAAAAAATGTCAAATAACATAATTGTAGTCATTTTAAAAATAAAATGTCAAATAACAATACCCGGGATTGTAGGGCCTAAAGATGATGTCATTGCCCTTTCTTTTAGACAACCGATCTGCTAAACCTCTGCTTGCATCGTCAATATTCTTAGATTTCCCTTTACGCGTACTTGGTGAGATTACTGCCGGGTTCACAAAGCAAATTCCATGGTCTCTTTATGGGGAGCCATACTTCAATTTGTTAAACAACACCCTGTTGTCATACAAACACTAAATTCATTAAACATTTTTTTTAAGACACATTGTTATTTAAATTAAATTTCTTGCACTTACATCATATAAGACACAATAACAGCACCGGTCAGCTCATCCATTGTAAGAACTGCTTCAAAATCATCCCAAGTTATGTACGTGTAACTATCGTACCCAAAAAGATCATTCTCACTCTACACTCTTATAGAATCAACCTTTGTAACTTGTCCATCAGCCATCATTGCAATCATTTTCAAAATACTACTGTTCTCAATCCTTATCCTTGTCTTCATCTGTGCTCTGGTCCACCTTCTTCGCACAGTCACATTTTGTTTCTCCTTTTTAATCTTCTTTTCTATTCCAATCAGTACTTCTTCCACATCATTCCCTCCTTCCATATTACATGGTTGTTTTTCTCCATCAACCATTTTTCCTGTCCCCTTTTCTTTCTTATTACTTCCTATTTCTTCTTTTGGAGGTGTTGCATCTTCCTTCACTGGTGTTACATCTTCATTCACTGGTGTTGCAGCTTTCTTCACTGGTGTTGCATGCTTTTTCACAGATTTCGCCACCACTTTTCCCTACAAATGCAATCAAAAATACAAATAGTATTACCAAAAAAATTAAGAACTCACTCAAATATCAGAAAAATTAAGATAACCAAGGGAAAATATGTTCAAATAGTATTACCAGGTTAGAGCATCGAATAATTAATTGTCTTGGCTAGATTTTTATGTGTCCCAGTGAATCTTTGACCTTCACAATGAACTCCTCTTCAAGTAGAAAGGGTACTAAAGCTTCTCTTTGCAAAATTGTTTCAATCATAAATTCAATGTTTTCATCTGTTACATAGACATAAAAAATAATTAAGATCCAATCTTCTAAAAAATGAAAATATATAAATAATAATAATACAAATATATTTCAAAATAACCGATGCTTTCATTATGGTTCCTTTAGCAACTACATTTGCAGCAAATTCAACCGCAAGAAGACATGAATTATCCTGCAAAATATAGTATGTTAGTTTGTAGAAAAAGAAAATTATTTAAATATAGTTTTCATAATTGACTTCAAGGACTTACAAGTGATTCATTCTGTGGTTGTTTTTCAAAATCTTCAATGATGCCCCCTATTTGGCAACTTGCAGCTTCAGAAACATTAAGTACACCTCTTTTTAGTTTCTCCAAGTCATCTTCAAGTTTGTTGATTCGTTTATCCACTCTCTCGTTCTCAATCTCCAAGTAATACTTAACATTCTTGGGTAAATAAAAGTATTGCTGTGGCGTTATAAATCTACCCATCCCTCGTACACGCCCACGTTGTTCCTGAGTACCCAACGCCTCTGTAAGCACATCATGTGTTCCACATGTAACCTCTCCAAAGCTTCCCGATTTCTGAAGCTCATCCTGTAAAATAAAATGGGACAAATGTTAGAAAAATAAAATGGGACAAATGTTATTTTTTTTATATATTTGGGAATTAATGAAACTTACAATTTTATCAACAATCGTCTTCACATCTGCATCGTATCCTCCTGTCTTCAACTCTCTTGGTTTTTTCCACAGCACTGTCCTATGAATCTCCTCTTCCGTCTTGCTGGTTTCTGGCATCTAAATTATCAAGAATAACAAAATCAATTAACATAAATAAATACAAATAAAATAATCAATATTCAGTAGGAATCATACAATGTCATTAATGAGTCCAGCATATCCTTTTCTGCTCAAACGATGATTGTATTTATGATGTGCACGAGTATTTTTAGCTTTCATACTTTTCTCCTGCATTAGAAACATTAAAATTATAAATACAAACATTAAAATAGTAACTACAAATGCATATAAGAAAAGTTTAACAAACCTCCCACTTCTTTGTAACTCTATGGGATACAAAAACTTTCCAATCTTCTTTCTTTATAAACGGATAATCTTTCGGAGGTTTGAATAGATTTGCCTTGGGATCTTTACTTCAGTTCTTAATGAACTTGGCATATAGATAATGCTTGAAGTTTCTCCACTTCTTCCCGATCGATTGGAGAATTTGCTTCCGGCTCTTTGGGTCAACTACAAACTTTTCCTGAAACATTAAAAAAGGTTGGTTCAAAAACAAATCTGAACAGGGACAAAAACAGGGACAAAAACAGATCTGAACAAAGGTAATAACAGGAAGAAAACAGAGACTTACCAAAACATATTGCCATAATCCTTCCCTTACTTCCTCACTAACTTCCAGCCACGAGTCATAGGTTATGGGAACCATTGTTCTTGCAACCAAACCCTCAAAAGTAGACAGTTTTGTGGCTTCCTTTCCAACCGGGACACCTTTTTTATTGTAAGTTATTACAAGCTTCACTTTATTAGCTTTTATCTTTGTTGTCGGACCTCTTTGTTTGGAGTCCTCATCGTGATCAGAAGCTGAATCTGATTCCATGTCACAAAAACACAACCTGTTTCAACAAGATTCAAATTAAATTAAGTACGTTTTTATTTGTTGCAGTTGGACATTGATTAATCACATTCAAAATCTGAAATAAAAACATACCAAAAACTTTATTATTCTGCAAAAAAAAATTTAAACTAATATGCCCTCGCCATCCGGACGCGTACACAAAAAATCATCATCAAGGTCTAATAAAGCAGAGTCTTGTGCTAAATCAAAAGTAACATCAAATTCCAACATATCATCAGTTTCACCATTTGATCCATACTTGTACATCCTATGAGGTGTGAATCCAACAACATGCAAATTCTCATCTTGTTGATCTTGAACATAAAAAACCTGTTTGACTTGACTAGCTAATACGAAGGGTTCAGACTTTTGACCAAGCCTATCAAAGTTAACTACCGTGAATCCTAAATCATCCTTTTTTACTCCACGACTATCAACCCAATCACACATGAATACAGGAATACTAAACATGTGATAATTAAGATCCCATATCTCCTTTATACGGCCGAAGTAAGTAACAACACCATACACAGGATTGGAGTCTATTGCACTAGCAATATGCATAGTATGTGCAACTAAAGACACTCCACTGCATTGAGTTGTTCTAGACTCATCACGAGATGTTGTATGAAAATGATATTCATTTATGGCAAAACCGCTATATTTAGTAATAGCAAAATTAGGCCCTTTCGCCAACCAACGAACATCATCACAAATATCTTCCCCGTTAGCCAAACGTTTTCCAACCTAATAGAAAAATATATAATTAATGTAATTCAAAAAAATAATTAAAAATATTGTAATTCTAACAATCTTATTTTAAAAACAAACCTCTTTCTTAAACCAACTAATAAATGTCCGACTATGTTGGCTCTGCACCCATGTACTCTTGCGAGCATGACGGGGGTTCAGATCCTTCAATTCCAACATATGTTGCCTGAAGTGTATTACAAGTTAAAAGAATGTTTTATATGATAGATAATGGTATAAGAGTATACAGTTTCATGTAATTCTTACTCTATATACGGCTCCACAACAGTAGTGTTTCATAATACATAAAGATGAGCTTGATCAAGTAACTGAGCATCTACAACATCAATTGTAGCCTTTGATAAAGGCTTGCCACTGCGGATTCTTTCATCAACACGCTCATGAGGATTGCCAATTGATTTCTTGTTTTTTAAGTAGTCTGAACAAAATTCTAAGGCCTCCTCTGCCACATAACACTCTGCAATGCAACCCTCGGGTCGATGATGATTTCTTGCATACCCTTTAAGTGTTTTCATGTATCTCTCAAATGGATACATCCACCTAAAATGAACCGGGCCATGCAACCTCACCTCTCTAACTAAATGCACCATCAAGTGAGTCATGACATCGGAAAATGAAGGAGGAAAGTACTTCTCTAACAAACATAATGTTAATACGATGTCAGTTTGCAACTTGCCTAGCTTACTAACATCAACAACTTTACTACACAACTCATTGAAAAAATGACACAGGCTTAGGATTGTTCTCCGCACCTTCACATCTAAAACCCATTTGATTGCAAATGGAAGAAGTTGTTGCATTAGTACATTGCAATCATTAGACTTCAAACCATTCATCTTTGAAACATCATCCGACACGAGATTCTTGAAATTAGAGCAATACCCATAAGGAACTTTTATGTTAGACAGGGTTTCATAAAACAGATGTTTCTCTGCGGAATTCAATGTGTACTTGGCAGGCGGAAGCCAATGTCGATCCCCTTTTGGTTCAGGTCGTAATTCAGTCTTGATGCCCAACGCTTCAAGATCTTGTTGTGCTTTTAATCCATCCTTCGTCTTGTGAGGCAAATTCAACGCTGTCCCATAAACACTCTCGGTCACATTTTTTTCTATGTGCATGAGATCTAACTGATGGCGAACAGGCAACTTCTTCCAATATTCAAGTTCAAAAAAATCGACTTTTTATGCCAAAATTTAGATCTCTCGTCGATACTTTCTTTTTTCTTCTTTGTCTTTTCCTTCTTTGGTGTTTCCTTCTTTGACGCTCCCTTCCTTGACTTTATCTTCTTTAACTTTATCTTCTTTGATCCTACCTTCTTTGGCTTTATCTTCTTACCCCATGTAGTCTCAAATCCCGCTAGATAGTCATAAATCTCTTCACCTGATGATGGTTGTGGCATAAAATTGTGCTCCTGTTGATTGTTGAAATGTTTTTTTCTTTTGCGAAAAGGATGTTCAAGTGGTAGGAATCTTCTATGCCCAAGGTAGCATACTTTTTTGGACTTTGGCAACCATTGTGAACAAGTATTCTTTGAACATATTGGACAAGCATAATAACCTTTGGTAACACACCCCGAAAGATTACCATACGCGGGAAAATCACTTATAGTCCAAAGTAATATTGCTCTTAAATTGAAGTATTCTTTCTTATGAGAATCAAAAGTCTCAACGCCAGTTTCCCACAAGAGCTTTAGATCTTCTATCAATGGTGCCAAGTAGACATCAATATTGTTACCAGGTTGGTTTGGCCCGGATATCAACAGAGTCAACATCATGAATTTTCTTGACATACACAAATAAGGGGGTAGATTATATGTTATTAGGATAACCAACCAACAACTATGCTTGGAACTTAATGACTTGTGTGGATTGATACCGTCAGCAGACAAGGCTAATCTAAGATTTCGTTTTTCCCGTCCGAATTCTTTCCACGTGTTATCAACAAGCTTCCAAGAAGGGGTATCGCGAGGATGAGTAAGCTTCCCACTATTGACCCGACCTTGTGCATGCCAAGTTAAGTCATGTGCAATTTGTGGTATTGAAAACATTCTTCTAAATCTAGGGATGATAGGAAAATACCACAAAACTTTTGAAGGTACGTTTTTGGAATTCTTCTTCCAACGAGAAGTGCCACAAGTTGGACATTGAGAAGCATCTTTATGTTCTTTCCAGAATAGAACACAATCATTTTCACATGCATGAATCTTCTCATATTGTAGACCTACTCCTTTTAGCAACTTCTTGGACTCATATATCGAGCTAGGGATGGTATTGTTTGATGGTAAGATATCTTTTAGGATAGACAACAAACGATCAAAACTTGCATCAGACCATCCAAATTGACCCTTCAAATGTTGGAATTTCAATAATCCACTAAGTGCATTATACTTTGACCCTACATAAAGTGGCTTATCACACTCTTCAAGAAGTGATTTCAACGAATCAGGTTCATCGTTTACGTATTTGAAGGCATCATGAAGCATATCCTTTGTATAAATAGCATCAGGAGGAATGGAATTGTTAGGGCATCTAGAATCACTATTGGGTTGTTTTTCTCCATGGAAAGACCAAATCTTATAATTCTCATTGAAGCCATGGGCAAACAAATGATAATGGACATTGTCAATTGAGTGGTGACACAAATTGATGCAATTTACACAAGGGCATGGAATAACATCTAACCTTGGATTATTAGTTTGTGCAAACTCTAGAAAAGCATTCACACCTTCATCATATGCATTTGATAATCTACTAGAGGAAATCCATGATTTATCCATTAAACATTTGTTGCTAACCTACATAATTATTTACCATATAAAGCAATAATGATTACGCATGTTTAGGGACAAAAACTATGCAAAAACAAAACTGTACAGGGCCAAAACTATACAGGGACAAAAAATTGTACAGGGGCCAAAACTGTACAGTGACAAAACTGAAGCAAGGACCAAAACTGTATAGGTTATCAATTACTTTTTCAACATCCAGTTACTTTTTCAGCTTGTTTGAATATTTTTATGTGTTTGTTATAACATTTTATGAACTTTTACAGAAATTTGAAAATTAGAAATACTTTTAAAATTTTGAATATGATCTTTTGCAGAAATTTGAAAGTTAGAAATGGGCTAAACAGGTGTCCAACACAAAACCACCTGCAAACCCGATACTTCATAATTTATGTGTTTGACCTTTTTACCCTTGAGTGGTCAATTTGTTTAAAATTAGCTTTATTTTTCAATATGTAATTAGCTAACTGTAATATTTTCTTTAATAAATATAGATTGCTCCAAGCCCAATCTTACAAATATAAATACATGCATTTGATATGTGGTTTCACGTATTTTTAAGAATGGGAATTAGTGAAAGTTGTGTTAGTTAGATAGAAAGTAACTGCCATAATTAGGTATTAACTGTCAGTTGACAGTTACATTCTAAAAATGTATAAATATTTATGTTTGATGTTAATTGTGATTAATACTGCATAAGAACTTCCTATAGGTATGGTTGTTCTTTGTTGTTTCTTTCTTTCTTTCTTTCTCTTCTGTCTTTGTTGGTTAATGAGTTGATGTTTCTACTTGTTTCCATTCCTGATTTAATGTGGCAGATTGAGGTTAGTAAAATTTTCATCACACGTCGATTAATTATCATTTTATTATTATTTAAAGATGATTGAATTGATTTGTATGAATCCTGTAAAAGGGTGAGTACCTAAGATCTATAAAAGATCTGTTAGAAAAGAAGGAGCACAACTACAACCTAATCAAGGTAACTCACAGTCATAGGTAAACTCTCTGTTTCTCAAGGTTGTTTTTATAATCTGTAATAACTTTAGTTATAGATTAATTATTGTTTTTGTTATAATATGATTGAATTGATTTGTATGAATCCTGTTAAAGGGTGAACATGATGGATCTGTTAGAAAAGAAGAGGTGCAGGTGTTATATGTATTGCTTGTAGAGTAGCAAGAAGCTTTTTGGATGACATTCTTTTTAATCTCACTCTGTTGAGCTATATGTTATATGTATTGCTTGTAGAGTATGTACAATATATGTTAGGCTTTTGATTATTTTTAATGTTAAGTTAAAAAGGCTTGGATATTTTAAACGAATATTCACAAAAATGAATTTTTAATCAAAATAATATAATAGAATCTATATTAGAAAATGAAAAATAAAAAACTTATGTACCCTAAAAAAATAGATAGATTAAAAATAAATACCTTTTTTTACCTGAGTATGTGTAATATCAGTGTAATTTATAGCAGAAACTGTTGCTTTATCACCCTTTGAGCCTGCAGCAAGTAACAAAAAAATTGTAAATCATTGTAACTATATGCATATTGCAATGCACAATCACTCATAAATCCAATTAAAAAGACTTTTTAGTTGTTAAAATCGCCTAAGAGCTTTCTAAAACTCGAATGTTGTAAGTTTCTTGAAAAGACTTCATTAAAGTAACTAAAAATCACGTTTTCATAAAGCAAGCAATGTTGTCAACTCAGAAATCATGCCCATTTATGCTTTAGTGTGACCATGAAACTAACCACAATCAGATTATATCAAAGCCTAGAAACATCTCATTCATCAATCCTATTATAAGTATACAAAATGCAAAGCTAGAATAGTAATTTTTGCCATGTAAGCTAATTTTTTTGGCAGTGCCCATCATACCTACTTGCATGGGAAACCAGGGACATCAACCTTCTAAATGACTAAAAGTAGGTTCTACTCCTAATTGCATTTGATCATAAGTGAAAATGTTTCTTGTAGGAATAAATTAATAAGTGGAGGAGATACTAACCGTATAAGATGCACAGCACCAAGCCACATACTGTTGTAGTTACCACCTAGATCAATGCACTTTTAATCTTCTTGCCAATAGTCCTACAAGCAAAAATAGTTAGAAGCATAAATACATACACTTTCAATGTTTAATATGCTCTAATGATGTGGGCCCCATTAGGACAAGATACAACATCATAAATTTATGTTGATTACCAACAAATGATGTGGTGTTTGTATTGAACAGGTTGAACTAATGCGTGGTTTAGAAGATAGAGATGATGAATACAAGACAATGTTAAATGAGAAGCTTCAAGTTACAGATGGCAGTGGTTTGATACAGGTGTACAGAAAAGAACTTGAAGATAGGCTTGCCTTATTAGGCATGCTCATGTTTATACAAATTATAATTATTTAAGAGCCCATGTTTTAATGTAGTTTTTGAATCTGACCCTTGGTTGTAAATAAACATTGTAACATGGTTTATATTCTAATATTCATAAAACAAGATAGTAAGATAAGTTGGTGTATATATTTTGGTTTTAGAAAGGTGTGAGAGACCAAAAGAATTAAACATGTGTGTGGCTATGTATTATGTATGTATGTATGTTTGGAAGTAGCTATTAGCCAAAAGAATGGATCTTCTTTGAAAACAAGGGAAAAGTGGAGGGACCGAATTGTAATATTGTGTGCTTTCTGTTTTCATCGACCCACATGCAAGCAAAATACTCCAATTCAGGAGGATTGATTGTACCTGCAATCTCCTTGCCATCTATTTATAACTCAGTCTACCTTGATAAGCCCAGGTGTAAGATGAAACTACTCTTCTCTACTGAGATTGGTACATGGGTGTTTGTCAGTGAAGTTAAATCAACATCAGATATCTCCACGCAAGGAGTCAATGATCCATCAAAGGGGCTAATAGGAGGCTTAACAAATGAAGCCTTGTACAGCTTCGGAGTCCGATTGGCAAAATAGATAGAGTTAGTTCATTCTTCATACAGAGGTTTGTATGCTTTAGAGGAATTAATACCTCCTAAACCTCCGGATCACAATGTTATTTTGGTTCCCTGTTCCACTGTTGAATTGAATTGTCTAGTGGTTGATGTTTATTGGTGTTATATCTTAGTACAATCAACTAGCTGGACCAAAATGCCAATCCTGCTTGTGAAGAACACGTGTATCCATGAGTTGATAACTTCATCCGAGCACCAGAAATTAAGTTCCATCATTGCTGGAGAGATGACATTGTCTGATGAAAGGTATGTCTGGGAATGCAAAAATTCAAGCTTTTGAAACTATACCTAGACAAGTACATTGCAAAAGCTGGTGCAAGAAAACCAGGATTTTTTTCAAAATTCTTTTAGAAAGAACAACAGAAGATAGAGATCAAAGGTTTGACTGATGATATACTGAGGGAAGCTGCTGCAAAAACAGATGGATTTTTATGAAGAGAGGTTGCAAAGCTTATGGCAAGTGTACAAGCTGCTGTTTATGGAAGTGAAAACTGTGTCCTTGATCCACTTCTGTTTCGTGAAGTGGTTGATTATAAGGTGACTGAGCATCAACAAAGAAGAAAGCTGGCGGGGGATGATGGTGGTGATTAGTTAGTTATTTGTTGTTGTTTGGGTGGCATTTTGGGGCATGCAGGTGAGTTATCTGCTTTTGTGTCTTTGGTGGTCAACCCATTCAGTCAAATTGGGATGAAAGAAAGATTCTGGTACATCTGATAAAGAGTTGTTATTGATATACAAACATGAACAATTATTAATTGGCTTTGTATTAAGGCAAAGAATCAACTTTATTTTTAACAAGATGAGATGAATGTTTTGTTTGTTTGTAGCCAGAAGATTTGTTGCAATAAAATCAGAATTTTCTTTAGCCAGCAGTTTTGTGTTTGTCTTTTTTTTGCAAATTATGCACCATTTTGAAACAAAACAAAACAAAATGCTGAAGGTAGCCATAAGAAAAGGTAGGCATTAGGCAAAGGGTAATCTGGTCTTTGTTGCGTTGGGTGTTACATTTTCACTCCTGAAATTTTTTGTATGTGATGAAAATTGACAGGGATTATTTTTTTAGCATAAAATACTTGAGGCCTGAAGTATTTTAACTAAAAAATATATGTTAGAGAGTACAAATACGTGAGTTATTATATGACCTTAACCTTTTAATAATTTCCCAAGTACATGCCACGTAGGTTGCATGTCAGCAAACACTTATCAGATAATTTTTTTTCCTAAGTGATGAAGTGTGGTGTTCCTAACTTTTGTGTTGTTCTTTTAGCACTAAATGATCTTTTTCTATTTTATGATACAAAAGGTTTAAACTTTAATGATAATAATTAGTATGTTAATTGATGTATTTATTTGTATAGGTATAAAGCAAGGGGAATTCGGTTGGATTTTGGTGATCTTGCTTACCTTTCATGTGAGAAAAGAAAGTTCTTTGAAACAATTGGAATGGAATTTGGAGTTCCGAGGTTTGGACATACTAGAATCACTGCTGGTAATGACCTCAATGAAGAAACTTTGGATGCTTTAAACAAACAGGCAAGCTTTTTATAGATTTTTAATTCTTAAGAGTATTGAATCATTTAGTATTTTGTAACTTTGAGTATCGGCTTTAGCTTGGGCAGGAAGTTTCTCTTGAGAGAACTTTTCTGATTAGGGCAGGAGGATAATCATTTGGATTTCCTTTCTGATTTGTTCTTATTTCCATTTAGTAACCAATAGCTTCCTAGATCTATATATCTCATATTTGAGTTTCATTTATCTGTTATTGGATTTTGGTTTCTATCAAAGAGGTTGTGTGATGATCAAAATGCAAAATGAATCAATGGTTGATTTCATAAATACATACACTTTCAATGTTTAATATGCTCTAACAAGTCTTTTGGTTCCAGAATAAGATGCTTTTTTGACTAATTAAGTGAAACAACTTAGAACTTTTTTCTATGTTCTTGAGAAGATCAAGTGTCCTTGCAGAATTTCTCAACAGTTCAAAAATAAATATCGACTCAGACATCTACATTTAGGGTTTAATGAATGCTTCAACCATGATTTCATAATCTCAATCCCTATTACAAATCGTCCATACATACCCCCAATCGAAATGAAAGATACCACACGATTTCATAATTTCATAAGTACAATCAGAAAACATAAAAAATTACGTTCTACCAGACCAGGGTTCGAAGAACCTGAAGAGAAACATCTCACAGGGGAGTTTGATTAAGAGTATTTTGAGGGATTTTTCGACTCTTTTCTTAGGCAACTAACATTATATATACATGGTTAGCCAATCCTTTCTTCACCTTGAGGACAAGGTGAAAGTTTGGGATAAAAAGCAGAGAAAATGTTCGCAAGATGAAAGAAGGGGATAAAAACATTAAATATAACTTGAGAAGCTTGAGATTTTACCTTGTGTTCGACTTGACAAGCTTCAGTAGGTGAGAAACCCTTGAATGTGTTCAACTTAGCATCAGATTCATGGCTACCAGGCGCTTCTTCCCCTTGTGTCGACTTTCTTCTGCTCTTTCTCTTCTGTTACAACGTTCTCTGGCCAACCGGGAAGTTCACTTGGCCTAAATCGGTTCAACAGGAACACCTTAATCAGACCTAGGGCACGTAAATTTGAGCAGTCTCCAATGATGTCAGTTGAGCCCACGGTCGTCGGCGAGGCGAAATCAGCCAGAGAAGTAACCTAACGATCGGAGGAGGAGACGTTGTCTGCAAGGGGAGGCGAGTCGAGGTCTTAGAGTCGATAGAATCGTAGAGAGTGAAGTGACTGATGAATAGTGAGTGTTAGATATTTTATTAGTAACCTCGATTTTTGTGAAGAGATGCGCGCCTTTCACTAAAATTATAATGCGACATTTTGAGACGGCGTACATTTTACATTAAGTGCCCTCCGTGTTTTTAAGTTTTTTACATTAGACACTAACTCTAAGGGCACTCAATAAAACACGACATATATACTTCATTTTTTGAAGAGATGACATTTTTCTAATGTCACTCTCTCTTGCGTAACATAGATCAATGAGCGTCGTATTTTGCGTGTCGTAAAAGGCCTTTTTTCTAGTAGTGTCCCCCATAGACTCAGCGAGTTCATACGAGTAGAAAACAGAAAAATAATTTTTTTTCAACAGTCTGCACAAAAAATCAACAAACAAGCCTAGACTCTGATACCACTGATGGGTTTTGAGCATTCTAACACTTCCTAAGCGTACATGCAACCCTAATAAACTTGGATCTATGTTTGTCTAATTATCACGCAAAGTTGAATTCCAAGGTTATATACCTATCTAGCATACATGAGGAATAATTTTTAACCTGAATGAAAGATAGAATAACATACCTTGTTGTTGCTTATGATCCTTTAAACCTTGTGAGCCTAGCACCCCAAGTGTGATGCCTCAAATGCTTCACACAACACCAAATGCTTTTGGAATGACTTTAGAGAGAATACACACTTCTAAAATCGGTCTAGCCGTCTTTTTTCTTATGTGTAGCCGATTTTTGGTGGGGAATATGTTCTTTATATAGTGTTGAGACATCTAGGGTTACACCATGTAAACCCTAATGTGTCATGACTCTTCATTTCCATGATCCATGGGTTTGTAACTCCCATGGAGCATCCATGGAGCATCCTATGGGTGGAACCCAACTTGATAATCCATGGAACCTCTTAGCCCACTATACAAGTTATGGATGATTTACATAATCAAGCCATATATTTAATTAGTTATCTTTTGATCACTTAATTAAGTCTAAATTAATTCTTGATCAAACTAATTAAATAACACTGTTAATATATTAGAAATCATAATATATTCATAAACCACAAGTGTTATTTCTCTCATTTAGTCTATCCAATTGCATGGTGCCATGCAACCCAAATGGACCATGTCGGGTCGGGTCAAGTACATACCAGAAATAGTTATGGACTTAGACACCTTATCCAACAATTACTACTATATATATTTTGTATCGGAACTAGTGAGTACTAGCATTATGAGTTCTTTGATAAATAGTGATGAAACTTCTTAATATGATCCCTACTAGATCCCTCTATAACCGTTTGGTGTAAACTAGTCGTATATAATTAATATTGAAAAGACAGTCGAAGGAGTAACTCTGCGCTAAGCCCACAACCAAACATGGAACATGAAATAAGGTGGAATCAAAAATTCTAAGTTTGTAGAATCTTAATTATATATGTCCCTAATGTTTACACGAGCCATTATAGACCACCTGTAAGAATCTTAAATTTTTATATGAACGGTGTGATTTATTCGGGTTAGGGGGCAACTTATGACTATGATTTGTCGCGTTTCGAGGTTTATGGTCGGTAAACTCTAAATGGGCACTAGTTTTAATGGAAAATTCAAGGCTTAAATATTGTTATTTGGAAACGCACCGATAACCACTGGTGGTTCCGGGGGAGTCTCTCATGTAGTGATCATAAGTACCCTTCCATTACTATCAACATTCGTGTCCCTGGCTCTTGGGCACTCCCTTTTGAAATGCCCAGTCTCGCCACAACCGTAGCAGGTTTTGGCTGGCTCTGGCACTGGTGGCTCGGGCAACCTATCGGGTTGGCACTCTTCAAAAGCGAGTGGTATGAGCTTATCTATTGCAATTCTTGTAGTGCATCTCTAGACATGATCCTTTGTGATGGAAGTTACATTTGTGGCACTTGGGTAGGGTTCTGGCATATGATTTCGTCGGCACTGAGGCAGTAGGGTAGTGGCGGCATAAGTTGACACCATTTGCTGCCTTTTGGCAGGTACCTGAGTCGAATGACCGCCTTTCTTGTTCCAAAACATTCATTTCTTAGGTAGTGCCCCTCCATTGTCGCGGGAGTACCTAGGTTTGAGATTTGTAGTGTCCTTGCGGGAACACACCTACTGGTGTCCTTGGTTGCCTCCGGGGTTGGAATTGTTGGCACCACTCTCGTTTTCGTTTGCATCGTTGGCG